AAGTAGATTCATATTTGATGAACGGAGGTTTCGTGCTGGAATATATCGACTAAGAAGTTCAACAAGATAGGTTGGAGCCATGTCATTTAGTGCTTTGTATGTTATCAACAGTATCTTGAATTGAATTCGTTTTGTGACCGGGAGCCAATGAAGTTTCCTAAGTATAGGTGTTATACTGTCTCTTGATTTGGCACCGACTAACAAGCGGGCAGCTGTGTTTTGGATCCGTTGGAATTTTTCGATGTCACAAATCGGTAGACCGTACAATAGGCTATTACAATAATCAAGTCTCGATGAGATAAAGGCGTGTATCAATCTTTCATTTTGCTGCGTCGAGAGGTATTTACGAACGCGACCAATATTTCTGATTGCTAGAGACGACGATTTACAGATGGAATTTATATGCGAGCGTAAGTTCATCACAGAATCAAGCATGACGCCTAGGTCTCGGACAGTATTAGATAAATTAATGATATCATCTCCAATATTGATATTACAGAAAGGAGGATTTTTTTGAGAAGCGTGAGAGGAAATGAATGATTTCTGTTTTTGAAGGGTTGCACTGCAATCTGTTTTTCTTGGCCCACTCCATGATTGCATTAACACATGATTTCAATCTTTCCATGCCTAGCATTCTGTCAGAGGAGTTTATCTTTATGTAAAGTTGCGAATCATCGGCATATATCATACAGTTTAGGCCATGTTCAGCAACAATGTCTTCTGTAGGCGAGGTATACATTAGAAAGAGTAGTGGACCAAGTACTGATCCCTGGGGTACGCCGTAGGAGATATGTCGAGGCTTAGAGATAGAGTGATTGATCTTCACTGACTGAACACGATGTTCTAGGTATGATTTGAACCATTTTAGTGCGATACCTCTAAATCCGAAACGTTTCTCCATTCTTTCAAGTAATATGTTATGGTCGATCGTGTCGAACGCAGCGGAAAGGTCTAGCAAAACAAGTACTACTTCTTCTTTTTGATCTACAGCTCTTAGGATGTCATTTGAGACTTTTATTAAAGCAGTTTCAGTGGAGTAGTATTTGCGGTATGCTGACTGCATCGCTGGAAATAACTGGTTCTCGGCCATAAATCTGTATATTTGATTTGCGACCACCCTTTCGATTGTTTTTGAGAGAAAAGATAGATTTGCAATCGGTCTGTAATTTGAGAGACAGTTCGGGTCCAATGAAGGCTTCTTTAAAGATGGACATACCAGGGATTGTTTTAACTGATCAGGAAATTCTCCGTTAGCCATGGAGGCGTTGATAATCTTGGTTATAATTGGCGTCAAGTGTGGAATTGACTTTAGAATTCGTGTTGGAATGGGATCCAGTTGACAAGACTTAGTTGGAGATTGAACAATAAGTTTGTGAACAATATCAGCAGATACAGGTTGAAAAGTTTGGAACGACGAGGTGACTGGATAATTGACGTTGATGTCGGGTGCTTGGGCAGTATGGGAGTCGAAATCCGATCTTATTTTCTCATTTTTTTGATAAAAAAAATCGTTGAACGTTTCGGTCAATGTATCCAATGAATCATTATTAGGGAGTGCAGCAATGTTCTTCGATAAGAATAGGCGAGATACCATCTTGAATAGTTGTGATTGGTCAGAGGAGCTGATCAGAGTCCGATAATAGTTTGTCTTTGTCGCTGTTAGAAGATCATTATAGTGTTTGCAGGAATCAATAAATATTTCTTGGTGAATTTGAAGACCAGATGAAATATATCTTCTTTCATGACGACGTTTGTCTTGTTTAGCCTTACGAAGTTCATCAGTATACCAAGGAGAATGCGGTCGCAGAGTAACCCATCTCTCGTTCACAGGAGCATGTTGATCAAAGATAGACGAGAGATTAGTATTATATTGTGTAGTCAGCTCAGTTACACAAGACTGTGGATTAGTAATGAGATTAGATTCTTCGATGTCTTTGATCATACTAGCTAAATCGAGCCTTTTGGTGTTTCTGTGTTTAACATGTAGTGTAGAAGGTTTCGGTTTTGTACATTTCACCTTACAAGTAACCAAATTATGATCTGAAATATTGTCGGCTGATAGAATGCGAACATCCGTTATAACATTATTCTCTTCACGAGATAATATCAAGTCCAATGTGTGGCCCAGGCGATGAGTGGATCCAGATACATTTTGAATTAGATCAGTGGACTCAAGGAGATTTAGAAAGGAGGCAGCTTCAGGATTTGATAGATCATCAACATGGTAGTTAAAATCACCGGCAATTATAATGGGCTGCCTTGATAATGTAAGTTCTTCAAGAAAAGATGAGAATTCTTGCAAAAAGCTATTTCCAGTGTTGTTCTTTTTGCACAGAGGAGGGCGATAGAGAACAATTAAACGGAATGTCTCACTTTTGTTGGATATGCTCACATCTAAGTACTCAAATGAGCTTGTGTTCATGATGGAATTTTGCAGTACGGTATAACCATCTCGTATCAACAAAGCGACTCCGCCGCCCTTACGATTCCTTCTTGGTATGTGGTGGAGTTTAAAATGCGGAAGAATGTTGTTGATGTCGGTAATAACATGGTTGTCATCCTCGGTTCCTTTAAGCCAAGTCTCTGTTATGGCCAGGATGTCTAAATGGTGGGAGATGACCAAATCGCATAAATGAGTTGATTTTTTAACAATCGAACGCACATTGAGGAGAGCAAAATTACTGGTGGATTTGGTTCTCGGTAGATGGCCAACGCGTGTGATAGAGATGACATTGTTGATGTTTCTTGAGTAAATTTTCTTTGATGGTCGTCGATGCGTAGAAACAATGGTTGGAATGTAATAACATTGAGAATCTTCGTTTTGAATAATTAAATCTTCCTTCGGTTGAGAAATTGCTCCAAGGTCAAATTGTGACAATAAGAAACCCATTTCAGGACCAGGGTTAGAAGCAATGGTTCTCGGTAGATGGCCAACGCGTGTGATAGAGATGATATTGTTGATGTTTCTTGAGTAAATTTTCTTTGATGGTCGTCGATGCGTAGAAACAATGGTTGGAATGTAATAACATTGAGAATCTTCGTTTTGAATAATTAAATCTTCCTTCGGTTGAGAAATTGCTCCAAAGTCAAATTGTGACGACAAGAAACCCATTTCAGGACCAGGGTTAGAAGCAACGTCACCAGCCAAAGTAAGACGAGCTTGGTTGAAGGTGGTAGTTGAGTTAGCGTAGTATTTGACTTTGGATGTGTTGTAACCTTTAGGTCGTAGACAAACAAAGCGAGGCCGATTAGTTGTTAAATAACGAGGTAGTAATACAACAGAAATCCACTTGTTAGGATACAAACAATGATTCTTGCAAATATAATCCAAAGAGGAAATGTTTAGGCAATCCATATGTCGTTTTTCAATTGAAATAATATAAAGAACTGTGAAAAAAATAAAGAAAATCAAGCAGCGATATGAAGCACGTCCGTTACCCATAATTACCATAATTAATGCAACATGCAACAGTTTATATATAACCGCTGTGCGAATGGCCATGCGAATGCCTGCTGTGCGAATACCCATTACAACTACATGAAAGAATGTGTTTGGGGAGGTTTTGAACGGACATTTCTTTGAAAAAGATTTTAAAAAGTGATAAAATGAATTAACCTTGCAGATACAATAGCTGTTCTTCCCTTCCAAATTTTGACAAGGGCGACCCTCTATCCCCCTGCCTATTCTTCCGCTGTTTGAGTGAGCACCAACGATTTGCCTTCTTGGAATACATACCACAACTCGTCCAACATCAATGTCTAAACTTATGTGGCTACAAAAACACTGTTTCCATCTCCTCTGGGTCTCAGGCTCCGGCGGCCCTGGTGGTCCCACTTCCCCTTGGGTCCAGGGGCGCCATACCGTCCCACGTGCTCAAAAAATAATGAGTTAATCTTGCCATGCCGCCATTTTTGAAAGTCAGCCTTGATTTACAAGTGCTCAATAGAGTTAGTTGATGTCAGGAGAAGTAATGGGCTCCTGGTTAATGCATATTAATATAAGTTAAGCAAATGTCACGGAAGAGTGACAATTAACCCACCACAACAGTACGCAGAAGAGACTTTGCGTCGATTTTACTATATTAAAAACACGACTTTTACCACAACAGTCTCACGGAAACTCGCTTGACTGTTGTACACTCCATGATTTGCCGTCGCAGTACTTGATTACAGATTCACCTGATTTTAAACAAAAGTACGATTTTAGCTCGTTCATTGACCAAATACTGAAACATACTTGAGCCATGGCTAATTAGAGAGAACATTATTTGGTTTAGGGGACATATTGCGTCCAGAATATGTCACATTTATTCAATCCGCGGTGCGTCATGTAAGGAGTAAATATGAACTATTGTTGAAATTAAGAGATCCCCGCAGCTAAGAACACTACTGAAACGAGTAGTTGTAAATAGGACCTGAAAAAAATTCAGGCCCGTACGGGATTTGAACCCATGACCTCTGCGATACCGGTGCAGCGTACGGGCCTGAATTTTTTTCAGGTCCTATTTACAACTACCCGTTTCAGTAGTGTTCTTAGCTGCGAGGATCTCTTAATTTCATCTCTCCACCGCAGTGCAAATATATGAATTTTCATATATCTAAAATCATCATTCACTTGGATGTTTACTTGGACCCAATTCATTGACCAGCTCCCAGTTGGCTTGTTAGCTCAATTGGTAGAGCGCTGCACCGGTATCGCAGAGGTCATGGGTTCAAATTTCAGTAATGTTTTTAGCTGCGAGGATCTCTTAATTTCATCTCTCCACTGCAGTGCCAATATATGAATTTTCATATATCTAAAATCATCATGAACTATTGTGCTAATCTATTCTCAAAGATACTTTTTGCATCGTTGTAATCGTATAAAAGGCTGATGGACCAAACATTTTCGCGGATTTAATGTAATATTTTGGCGTAACCTCCACCCTGTTTCATCGAGACAGCGTTTATACCTGACTAACCCACGGTTACAATATAACATAAGTTGAGCTTATAATGAATCAAGAACTATACGCTTGGGTGGAAAGAGCACTGCCTATTAAAGCAACAGGGGGCTCAATCTTCTCAATGACGATTCTACTGACTGAATGCCAGCCGGTGTGGACATTGAAAATACCAAAACTATGGCACTGACCGACGTACAAACCAACACACACCAAGTCTCTGGCGATTCCTGTGCTGTAGACTTTTAATTCAACTCATTTCCCCCTGTAATACGTTATGTAATAAACAGTCTCTGCACTTGTGTGCATCGATCATTTCTGGTTTAATTAGTAGACAGACAACTGTAAACACTTATTTACGGAGTGGAAGGCCTCATAGAGGGATTTTTAATAATGTTTTTCAGTGGATAAAAGAACGTGTGGGGCGGCTCGACCTGTTAGACAAAATTTGTTTGTGTATACCACGCAGGTATGGTGCTTTTAGCGCGCGCTGATTGGCTATTTCAGAGATGCCTAATCAAGAGTTCGTGTTCCGATAATTTTTCTTTACACTTTTCTTGTGAGGTATATTCGAAAATAATAACTCACTCTAGTGTCTGTGAAAGTGGTTGATATTTACCAAGCCGTAAGGTAAATATCCACCTCTACCCACTTCTACTTCGGTGGGTAATATTTGACTATACGCTTTTATTTGCCGAACCTTTTTAGCCAAGGTTTTGAACGTGAGAATTATGAGGTACTCAGAATATAAGAGATTCGATGGGAGAGTAAACCTAAAGCAAGGAACTTAAGTCTTTTAAGAGTATCAGGGACAACTTGAAACTATGGCAAATCTAATATGGCAGCATTGGCCTCCTAATTTTGTTTTGGAATTTAGCATGCAGTTGTAATTATACACAGTGAGGCAGTCTCTCTCACTCCATCCAATAATGTATTTCATACTGAAAACCAAGAAATTATTCAGAGAACTTTCACTGAGAATGCTTTACTTGCAAACATCTGCAATTTGCTCAATTGAGTAAACTTGGGTGGATATGTGATAGCAAAGTCACATAGAATACTTTCAGCTCGTTTAATATTCAATATTCTGTCTGATAAATCATTTGGCCACGGCTTTTTTGGGAGAAATGTTATTCTATGAATGAAAGGGACCCATTTCCTCCCGAATCGATTATGTCACGTTTATTCAATCAAGTTACGCCTACATGAGGACGCCACATACTTATAACACCGCAGATTGTCATACAAAGTGGGAAAATGAGCAATAATGTCTGTCTTCCCAAAGTGGAAATGTTTCCCAATGTACAGTTATGTTTCATCAAAATGATAAAAAGAACACATGAACCAAAAGTAAGTTTCTTCGCAGGTTTATTTCCATGTTTTGTGATGAGTTCCACCCAATACAGTTAAGACACCCTTAACACAGTGAGCCTAACTACCCGGCAGTTACAATTCAAAATTCGACTGCCCCTATGATAAATCAAGAACTAGCGGGTGGAAAGGGCACTGCTGCTTATTTAAGCAACAGGAGGCTCAATCTCTTCAATAATGATCCTGCTCACTGAATTCCAGCCGGTGTAAGCGTTGAAAATACCAAAACCATGGCACTGACCGACGTGCAAGCCAACACGCACGAGGCCTTTGCCGATTCCTGTGCAGTAGCCCTCTACGTTGGCGGGGCGATGGATATTCAGGTCGACATTCTGGTAGACAACAGCATCAATAGCAGCGGGAGCCTTGCATTCGATGTCGTTGAAGGTTAAAAACCATCTCATGCAACAGTGTTTGCAGCCGGCGATGCGAAGGTTGCCTATGTAAACAACACGGAGGTATGTGTTTGGGGCAGCCTTGGTGAACGGACATTCCTTAAAAGGAAAGGTTCAAAACAATTTATTAGATGCATTGATGCAGTAAATATCTCTTTTTTCGTCTTCCTGTTCAATCTTGACAATGGTGACTGCTATATATCCCCCTCCACCTTTCTCTACTGTAAGAGTGAGCACCAACTATTTGCCTTCTCGGAATACATACCAGAACTTTTCCATTATCAGTCTCAGAATTGATGTGGTTCCAAAAACACTGTTTCCATCTCCTTTGGGTCCCAGGCTCTCCTTTGATTCCCGCTGGCCCTGGTGGTCCCACTTCCCCCTTGGGTCCAGGTGCACCATCCCGTCCCGGCAGTCCATCCCGTCCTGGTGCTCCATCTCGTCCCGGTAATCCATCTCGACCTGCTAGGCCTGCTTTTACTGGACAGCCTTTTTCCCTTATCTCCTGCAATTGTAAAACATTTAATTGCGACTTTACATGCCACTCTCTGAAGAACCCAAGAGACACTCCTTGGATGACTTGTGATCGACGATCACTTCTCCAGGAGACGAATAACTTTGTAACTCTGTAACTGCGGTGAATTAAGTCTATATATTTGACCTGTTAATAACACCTGGAAAAATAAGTCCTTACAAGTGAACTCCCGACAATAGTGGAAATTTTCATACAGTTTTGAAAGAATTGCTCGCCACATCCTGATCCGAACAGCCCGTTCTTACCACCACTCGAATGTCGAAGTTAAATTTGTGCCTGACTCAAAAACGTTTCTACAAAAATGAATACTTTACATGGCTTTAAGTAACTTACTCTTTCCTTTAGTTCATCTGTGCCGATCACAAGCTGAAAAAAAAGGAGGTACGACAGCGCAAATGTCTGCAAAAGTTTTTTCCGATCCATCCTTCTTGAGAGAGAGAATTCAAAATACCTTGCGTCCCAATATCATTTGTTTTAGTATGCTTCTTTTTATTTACAATTAAATGATATTTTCGAAATAACTTTTTAATTAGTTCAACTTTAGATAAACATACTTGTTTTTTTTTTCGCCGAAAAATGTCCAAATTAGATTGTAGGACAGATCGAGACATTGAATTTGTTCGCATCTCCCCACAAAAAAAAGAGCTGTTGGCCGTGTTGTTGACCGTGCAATTAAATATTTGCTATTAGTTTAATCAGTTAATTTGCCGCACATCACGTAGTGATTTGAAAAGTCTAAGTTAATGGTCTAGGTGGATAAAATATATCCACGAAGCGTGATTCAGTATAGATCAATAGTCTTCTTCAGAAATGCGCATCATCATGCAATAAATATTTGTCGCTAGATTAATTGATTATTATTATTATTATTATTATTATTATTTTGGTCATCTGCTAATTAATTTTAAACGATTCAAAAGAGTGGAACGCATTTCTGATATTCAACTCTTTTTCCTCTGTAGTACGTTTTGTAATAAACAGCCTCTACACATGTACGCATTCATCCTTCTAATTTAATAAGTAGACAGACAATTGTAATAACTTAATAACTGAGTGGAAGGCCTCCTAGAGGGATTGTTTAACAATATATTTTCGATGAAATAATTCTTGAGGCAGTACGCCCCAAAAGAATTTGTTTGTTAAAACCACACAGGCATGGTGCTTTTCGCGAGTGCAAATTGGCTGTCTCGGAGATGTTCGCGGGTACCATTTATCTCCAAGCAGCCGATGAGAGTAAATCTCCTTTATAATCGTTTTTCTCAGCACTGACTGCAGAAAATTTCTAGTTCTCGGTTGGTATATTCGAAGAGCATTATTCACCCTTATGTTGGTAAAAGTGGTGAATACTTACCGAGCCGTAGGTAAATATTTACAACAGCTAATATCTACTTAATTAAATAATTTTCAATTCTTTGACAAATCTGTCAAATCAGTCGAATCTAGCTAAGGTTATGAAAATTATGCACACGACGAACTCCGAAGATATGTTATTCTAAACGGAAGTGGACCTTGAGCTACGATCGAAAGTTTTTTACGAGTATTGGGGAGATCCCCAATGCGCTTAATACTGAGGGGGTTTATTCACGAGCTATGCATTTGACTGCGACAAACTCTGACTCTCCCACGATGATTTCCCCTAAGTCAGCTTTGTTAAATAACAGCCTATCATTTGCATTGCTTTTATCTGCCGCATTTATTTTGCCAAGTTTATGAACAGTTTAAATATTATGTACTCAAAAGATGAGAGAGCGAATAGAAGAGGGGACCTTGAGGAAAGAAATATAATGTCTAGAGTGTTAATCGCGGATCAAAGTACTCTCTGCCTTTTGTTAAAAAATAAAAACAATTCTGGCCGAGATAAATTCAGGAGTGTTTGTGAAATAGTCGCAACGGCTAATAACAATGGTTGAAAGAATAATTATAGTTTCATGAGCTTGTGGCGCCGAACATTTCGGGGACTGTCAAGAGCAAATCCCCCCTCGAAGATTTTAGTCTTTATGTTTTTGGTCTCGCGTTCGGATGCTTTGCCAATGAGCCACAAAGAACTCGATCGCCAATTAGGTCATACATTAATTAGGTCCTGCCATACCATAACTATCAGCATTGACTAAAGAGTGGTGACAGAGGAACACAAAAAGCCCATGAGATCTCAAACGAAGTATACTTAGACCGCCTCAAGCGAATGTCCATCTCGGAATTTTTCTCACTTTTCCATTTGATTCGATGGGAAGGTGGCGAGATGTTTCTAAGCCAATGACAAAGAATAGAAGCAAAGCCACGAGGGCAATGGAATTTACAGCAAGAGATTATTTTCTTACTTTGCAGTTCTTCCAGAAAGAAGAACAGGACTTAATATGGGGTAAATCCTTGCCTCTGACTCAACTTCTCTAAGCAGCCGAGACAAAATGAAACGTTGAGAAAAAAGAGAGCGAACTATTTGCCGATAGAGCACGCAGTTTCATCATAAATGTATGTAAAAGGCTTTCTGCAAGCGGACATCCCCTACAGCCCCCACATGAACAAAAATTGTGGTTGCTTGATTTGGTCTGAAGTCAGTTTCCGACTTTTTGTTGACGAGTTATCAGTTGTCGTCAAAAATGTGTCTGGCTCAGTTTCATGACGCTCTGAGGTGGCTTGGTGTCTGGTTTCGCCTCGTTAAAAGATGCTAATCGTTAGTATAACATTTCTTTTGTAATTGTGAGAGGTAACTGGTATTTTTGTGTACTTAGAAGTTTTAAAAATTATGTCCTAAGATCTTACTCTCTGCTGATGGCGGCCCAAACATATCTTCTCAGAATGCAGAACGAATATGTTTCATAGATAAGCTTTTCTTTTGTGAGGTATTTTGAATATCAATCTGATCATTCCTTTTGATGGATGGTTTCCATTTGCGTGGGCTGGCGTTGACGACTCGTGTAAGATGAAAAGGGCACAGGGAATAGGAGAGAGGAATGACAGAAGATTTTATCGATTCATCCGTCCTATGAGAGCTTTAAAATCTACAAATTTCTTATGAGCAAGTTTAATTTATTCATCTATCATGCTATTATGTTCACAAACATTTTTTGTTAATACTTTCACTTAAAACAAGGATATCCACTTAATTTTTTTCTGGCAACTTCTCAATGTTTTTTTGTTAGATAGATCAAGACATTTAGTTTTTTTTTGGTAATTCGAAACCAATTCTGAGTGTTTTGATTGTTCCCTAATCATTAAATCGGATGTTGCGTAGCACATTTTAAAATAGAGAAATGTTTTTGGTCTTGTTGCGAGCTTGGGGCATAATGTGAGTTAGACTGTGCTAGTTGTGATATATCATGTAAGGGATATATTGCATCCAGCAATACGCCTAGAGGTAAAGTGGGCTGTTATTGTCAATCTGGCTGGCAAAAAAATAATGATAATGATAATAATAATGATAAAAATAATAATAATCGTAATAATAATAAAAACCTACAGATACACCAAAATAAGTTTCTTTGCAGATTTATTTTCACGTTTTCAATTAATTGGCATCCGCATAGTGCACAAAGCAAGAATGTTAATGGCTGAGCTTAATAGGTTATAAAATTAAAATAGGAAAGTTGTGCAGACCATATCTTGCCTTTCATCCTTCTCTGGATATTTACTCAAATAACATAGTCACTATCAGTCTCTCTCACTCTCACTTTAAAATTCAACTATTTGCAAACATGAGAAAATACCATGAAAAACTTTTCAACCCATTTAATATAGCCAATAACAACATCAACTCAAATTTCAAATAAAAGGGAAAACTTGATTGATGTTTGGGATTGATTGCTGTGATGTAAAATGGAAATCCAGGCATTATCTCAAGTTTTCCACAAATGTTTTCATGATCGAATCCTAAGTCTCTCTTCGTCATCAAGTTTTAATCATGACTTTTTAGCTCTAGCTTGTCTTCTATTAAAGCAAACTTTTGCAGCGCAAGAAACATGTTAGACAAATTCATGCTTCATTAGCTAGAGTTGCTAAGATCACGGGCAGTTGGCTTAAAGAAACCTACATTATAAGTAGTTACAGCAGAGGTTACCGAATCAAATAACAGAAAGAATCTAAAAAAGACGCCGTGTATTTCCAGCCAGAGGACAATCGTGAAACAATAACAGCCAGAAGAGGAAAAGTTTTAAGAAATTACAGATTCAAACACGAGTTGAAAATGACTTTTCTTTTAATTTTTACGCGCAACAGAGGAGGTTGAAACGTTAGGGAGAAAATGGTGGGGCAAGAAGTCATACCTGGCAATTTCAAGAGAAGATATAAGAGAAGCCCATACGATTCTGGCGTCTTTATTTACTAATTCACTGTTATCACTTGTATACTCTTCAATCGACTGGTGATGTCTAAACTCGAAGTAGTTTACCGTCGTTTCTTTCAATTTTGGTTCATCTTCCTAAACCAAAGTTATCAATCACGCTCAAAATAATATAATTTCAACTGATGCTGACATCGCACACTTCCTCTGAAGAAGAAAAGATTCTCTATCTTCGAAAATTTGCTCAAAACGAAGGTCCTCAGCTGCTTGAAGATTGTGAGAACGTCGTCCCCAGGTTCCAGATCTCGCCAATTCTTCCCTTCCCTCCCCACCCCCCCGACTGGTCTCTTAATCCCCTTGAGGAAACTCTTTTATAGCCAATGATGGACAGCTTTATTACGGTTTTTATTATAATGAGGGGTTAGAAAATAAACTAACAAGAGCTCCGCTTTTAAGCTTAGCTAAATCTATATATTACCTAATGCATAGAGACTGGCTTTCACCTTCTACTGGTGAATCCACTGATGATTAAAAGTCTTCAACCTAAACTGAAGTGAGGGAGCAGTAAAACTCGTATTTCAGGTATTCCTTTTTTTTGATCTAGAGAAATGACGATAAAGTAGAAAGATAATGTCAAACTTCCACGGTGTGGATTACAAAATAAACAGTAAAGGGCCCATGAACGATCTTTCGCCATCTCGATATTTACACCAGGTAATTATGGATTATTCCTTTCCTTAGGGGGTAATAAAGAAAATTAAAGTTTTCTAGCCGTTTTATAACCCGCTGCACTAAACTGCACTAGAGACTGAAAGACAAGAAATGAGCAATCTTACTAAAAAAACGTGCCTTTTCCCTCGCAGCGTTCTCATAAGGATCAATTTTACTTATCATTACCAACAATCCAAGACAAGATGGTGGATATCCCTCAGTATGCAAGTGTTAGAAGTTATGTCCTAACACTCGTCGTTCAGTTGACTATTTCTTTTATTCTTTCTTTTCTTACCCAGGTTATTACAACGGGGACTAGCTCGGATCCTTCAAGGGAAGTGTAGGTCACCGCTTATAAAGGTGACGCTTACCGAGCTGTCAATCTCTAACCTTCGTCATGCTTTTACACTTAACTGGTGAATCACGCTAAACTACG